ATATAGTATTGGTATAACTTAGATGCTAAAATGATTCCTTTACTTTAACTACAAATATATAATGTTTAAAAATCTATGTACATGAAATTAAAAAAAAAGATATTTGTTATTTTAATATTAATTGTAATAATTTTATAAAAATAAGCATTTATTTAAAAACAAATTTCCAGAAACGTAAGAAAAAAGAGTGAAGACAAAATCTTTGATATGTTTATTGCCCACTTTCTTTTTTTTATTGTTTTATAGCCTGGTTATCAAGTCACTGATGGTAGAGATAAGAATAGTTGAGTAATATTATATTTCCTCAACACTATCCCAGTGACACTCCACACTCCAACCCTCCAGTCGACAAGTTAAGGCTACCATTTTCTTTGATTTTCACCAACTTTAAGTCAGGCTAAATTTAATTTGCCCTTTTTCAAATGAAACATTCTGCTAAACCATATATTGAATGGAATAAATTATTTAAAATGGACATTTGAAAATAATAAGTTGAAATAAAAATGTGTTCTTTGAAAAACAGGACATACAAGTCATTAAAGATTCTTTAAAGATTATTTATAAAATTAAAGCAAGAAATAAATTGCCTATTAAGTATGTCTCCCTCTGGAAAGGGCTCAGATCTACACGGCCCAACTAGCCACATTAATTTTATTTCATTCTTTTTTTACTTACTTCATATTTTTTTCTTTCTTTTATTTTTATTATGAACAATATCAAAGAAATGTATTTCAGTCAATATTTTGAGGCATGGAGTTAAACACAATTAATTTTGGATCCCGCTGAAGTCAAGAATGAAAATGATGCACAACAAAAGATTTTTGTTGGTTTGATATACTTCGAATGTTGACTCAATCAGGCTAAGCCTGACAACCCTGACCCCCAGAGTCACCACTAATATATATATATATATATATATATATATATATATATAAAATAAAATAAATTTTGATTATACATTATTTTTTATGGATACACTTATTTTCTTAGTTTCTGGGAGAGAGTGTGTTATCTAGCATGATCAACAATCTTATCAAGGCCAGCACACTCAAATCCTCAGTCATGATGATTTGTGACTCCTTGCTAGCAGAGCTCTTAACAGCCCCCAAGGGTTCTGTCTACTCACAAGGCTTGGGTATGGTTTTCAGGCACTTTCCAAAGGTTCCGCACACTGGGATTGCCCTCCGGACCAATAACCTTAAGAAGTCTACTTCCTGACAAATCAACCTAGGTCTCATGGTCAGAAAGCGAATGTTCTAACCACTCAGCCATACCATATATATATATATATATATATATATATATATATGGGAGAAAATAATATATAAAATTTTATATACCAGAATAATATCATGAAAATTAATGACAAACTGGAAAATTTTTTCATGTGACCCATTTTGTCCTTCTTCATTGGACCAAAGTGATGTTTACGTTGATATAACTACATATGCGCATAAAAAAACATTGAAATGTTAAACTTTTAAATCTAAATTTTATCCTTTAAATATGTATTTCGGTATGTAGTTTAGCCAGTTTCATTTAGTTATGTCGGATACTGGATGACAAAAGTTATAAAAATATAAACAAAAAGAAAATAAATGAAATTGGCTAGACTTTATACCCAAACATTTATCATACAAAAAAAGAATTTAAATCTAAAAGTTTAAAATTTCAGCATCCCTTCCTCTTTGTGTGGATATGTAATTACATCAACGTAACAATCCCTTTCATCCAATGAAGTCTTAAAGGATGAGTTGTTCAGCTCATCAGAACAAAAACTTCTCCGCAAGTTTTCATTCTGATGAGTTGAACATCTCCGTGTTCATGAAATAAAAATTATAAAAAAAATGGATAATGCTCTGTAGTCTACATTGAGCTCTTCCTGGACTTATATCCTCCTTGGAATTATCACTTCCAGTCACAAACTGGTAAAACATATATATATATATATATATATATGAATATAAAAGTGAACATTGAAGTCAACACTTAAAGGCAACAGGCTGTTTCATGCTAGACGCAATTATTTAGCATGAAACAGACTGTTGCCTCTAAGAGTTTACTTCAATGTTCACTCTTATATTTACACACACTCTGTCTCTGATATTGAGCACTTTATCCCATAAATATAGCACACCTTAAGACTATATTTCTTCATATATATATATATATATATATATATATATATATATATATATAGGGTATGCTATATTTATGGGTTAAATTACACAATATCAGGGATAGAGTGTATATAAATATAACAGTGGACATTGAGGTCAACACCCAGCAGCGACAGTCTGTTTCATGCTTAAATACAGTCTTCTAGCCATATGTGTTGTATTTTGGCTTGATTATTCATATATGCTGGTCAATGGTAGATCTGTTGTATTATCCTGTTGGTTATTGGGTGGGTAGTAATGATTATGTTTCAAATTATTCTAGTGGCTATTGAATAGCAATAATTGTGGATTTGAATCGAGTTTTGTGACTATTTTATAGTGTTTGTTTTTAACTCAATATTTATTATGTTTACTTGTGTTTATGTGTGCATTTTTAGTTTGTTAATTTGTTTATTATTGACTTAATATATTGATTAAGATTATTTTATTTATTTATTTTTTCATTCATTTTTAGCTTTCAATTTTTAAGTAACATAGTAAAAATTGTTTTAGATGAGTTCTGGTTATTTATTTAGTAATTGTGTTAGTTTGGGAAGGTAATTATAGCTATTTTCAACTTCAGACAGAGTCTTCAGTTTTTGGATTTATTGTTGCAGATTGATGCTGTTTTTTTATTTTCCATGATATTTTTTGTGTGATTTGGTTTTTGTTTTTAATTTCCCCTATATGTATGTTTAGAAAACATTGAGTTGTTCACATATTGACTATTTGTAAAGGATGTTTTGTGCGTGTGGTTTATTTATTTTCTTCAGTTACTCCTATGTATATTTTATCTTGGTTAACTGCTGATTTTACAGTGGCTTTGTATATTAAATTCTTCTGCAAGCATTTGATGTTTAATGGACAATAGTCCTTTGCTCTCAAGTTACAAGGGAGTTTGATTTGTGTGGGTGGTTTGTTGGTTGTTTTCCTGTTCTTTTTTATTTTTTGTCTCCTGTTCTTAGTGTAAATGTAGCTGAGTTTTTTGTTGTGTATCTTGTGATGAGTGCTTGATGGGGGTTGGTATGAGCTTAACGAATTATATTTTTCCTACATTTTTTTGTACATTTTTGTTGTATGGTGGATTCAAACATATGAAGTTTCTTTTCCTGTTGGCTTTTTTTTTTGTGCTGTGTAATGTGTATGGGAGTGTTGCTGAAAATCCACTATCTTTGAATGTGGCATTTAGGAAATTTACTTCTTTTAGGTTAGTTTTTATATCTATGTCAAATCCCATATATTTTTAAATTTTTATGATTATTTTTTCTGGTTTGGTCTGCTTTTTGTTTCTTATAGTTTAAGATTATGAGATCATCATCCCTGAGGTGATCTATATTGTTTTTATTGATTATTTTACTTAGTTCATGTAGTAAATGTATACTTATAAACACACAGGTTTTTGAACCATCAAAGCATCCCATTGTAATATCAAAGATTCCTTCTTTATTCACATATCTTTGTTGCTAAATAATAGTGATTTTCAGGATAATTTTTACTTTACATTTATTTTTATTTGTTCCTGAGTTAAGTAGATTGTTTAAGAAAAAAAGGGGGGATGTAAGGCACCTTTAAATGACACTTCTTCAGAAAAATAATCGTCGGCAGATTAAAACAAAGAAGTTGATAAGAAAAATAACTATATATATATATATATATATATATATGTATATATCTTTGATTATTTTCTGAAGAAGTGTTGGCTGAAAGCTGCCTTAAATCCCCCTTTTGTCTTAAATGAGACACTTTTGTATCTGTTTTAACAATAAAATGGGAAATATGATCCTTATATTTAAATCAATTTTGACTTGGTGTAGCAGTAAAAAGAACCTATATATATATATATATATATATATATATATATATAGTTACAGGTATCTGTGTATATGGAGGTGGGAGTGGAGGTTCCTCACACATCATATTCTTATGGTCTGGGCCAAGAACCCTTCCCCAGTAATGTTGCTAAGACATATTAGTATATATATATATATATATATATATATATATATATATATATAATATCTTCCTCTCTCCTCCCTCTGTCTCTTTCTTTCTCCCTCTTCTCTCCCTTCATATCTTTACTCATATAATGCAAGCCCCTCGCTGATGGAGACTGGCCCTTGTTACTTGGTGGAAATAGAACAAACAGGCAATGAAGTCAAAGACACAAAGAAACGATCACATGGTTAACCAGGGTTGTGATCAGAAACTCAAATGAGTAGACATGTCAACAAAAATTCTGATCCCAGTCAAATGATGGAGAAAAGGCTATAAATCCTATAGCCAAACTTTGGAGGTCCCGAACTTGCAATATGAAAAGAGCAGTGAACCAAGATATATATGTTGGAGTTATCTCCTCCTTAGCTCCTTAACACTTCACCAGGGGTCTCTCTCCCCTGGCTATAAATACTGTCTGACCCTTTGCCTTGATCTCTTTTTTCCCTCAGGCCTTGAGCCGTTACCTCGCTTGGAGATGAGATGGTAATTCTTCTCTCATTTCAGCTAACACCAATATGTGAGCTCTCACAGATACAGCATTTCCCAAATTCTGGGAACACGCTAAGAACAATACATGTACATACAAACACTCACCACAACATACACACATAATATTTACCACACGCACTCTGTCAATGTAACTGTCCATGTGCTTGTAACTTGTACTTGTTGTTAATACATATATTTGTTTATATATATTTATCGATCTTCTTTGTTTTCTTTGGACTTAATTTAAAGTCCAACTTTCTCATGTAGTTGGACTGGCTAGCAGGAAATTTTAACTCATGTGTGTTCAGATATGAAGAGCCTACCATGAGAGACATTCATTACAATATTCATCAGAGAATGTTATCTGTCGAATTCAGCCTGATTCCAGTGGATAAAGGAGCGTGGTTTGTTGAGGCTGATACATTCCCCACCCCCTTATCTGAGCTCAGAGCCATTACCGCCATATTGGGAAGTTAAAGGAACCCTGAAGGATAAAAGAGAAATTCATAGGGTGTGATAAAACCAAGGAAAAATGAACAAATACACAGCGGATTAAATATGAATAAAAAGTGATTGAAATGAGAAAAACTGTAAATTAAGAAGGACAGTCGAAATTACATGTAAACCCAGTTAAGTATCCTGATCTGTCTTTTTACTCCCCCCACATATGTAATGAAAAGTTAAAAATGCTGCTTACATCATTACAATAGCACAAATCTTGATCCCCACCACACACTTTTTTCTGCCTTTCCCTTTTCTTCCCTTGGAGATATATATATATGTTTATCATTGCTTAGTGATCCACTATGTAAACAATGACAGACTATCATCACTGTCGTGTCCGTATATTGTTTAATATGTTTGTGATTTATATCTTTGATAATGGCTTAAGTAAGCCGAAAGCTTAGATTATATTAAAAATAATGGATAAATATTGTGAATTTCTTTCTTCGTTTAATGATAATGTTATCAAACTTATCAGAAGATACGAAAAAATTTTATATAAAATAAATAGACAACACTTGTCTATATTATTTAATGAAACGTGTATATATATATATATATATATATATATCATTTGATTCCTTGTCATTGGTTAGTAATCTGGTTGATTCATAATAAATAAAATTTGTTATAATCTAACAAGTCTGTCTTTGTCATGTATACCCCATTGTGTGACCAGAACATCTCCCTAAATTTATCTTTTTTTATCTTTCTTTTTTTTTATAATTATGCACAGCACATGGTTATAAATATACTAAGCTGTAACAATATATATATATATATATATATATATATATATATATATATATATATAAAAAGTAATCCTAACAGCGAGGCAAACCTACCTGGGTTTCACCTAAATGGATCTGCAGGATAAAGCTGGCTAGAGAGGAAAATTAGGGAACAGTATTTATTGGTATGGTTTTATCAATAAATACTGTTCCGTAATTTTCCTCTCTAGCCAGCTTTACACTGAAGATCCGTTTAGGTGAAACCTAGTTAGGTTTGCCTGGCTCCTTACAATTACTTTAGGTTATTGCTCTTCTTAGTGCATTGAGCACTTTACATAGTTGTCTTTTTACTCTTTTTACTTGTTTTTTTTTGGGGGGGGAGGGTTTGGAGCTTAAACACTTGACAATTGTTTTCACCTTGTTTTAATGTTCTTGGCTCTTTCTTTTTTTTGTTTCACATTTTTCCTCAGGTACTGATTTGTTCTGCTACAAGTTAAGCTATCCAAGGTTTTTCCAAATGAGTACCACCTTTTATATATATATATATATATATATATATATATATATATATTCTCAGTAGTGTATGCGCACTGCTGATGGGTCCCAAAATAGCATGAAACGGCCATCCAGTGCTTTCTGCATTCAGTTGAGGTTTCTTCTAGACTCAATGAATTAATTATGATTATTTCAAATCCTCTTAATAATTTCTATCACTTGTATATCTCTGGATGGAGCAGCTTGGGGATGGAAGATGTGAAGGGCACAGTCTGTTGGGTTATGTATACTTGGATGAGTTACACCGCAGAATTTAGTGATGAGCAGCACTATATCAAGTCTAATTAGTTACCTCTTTGTCACCAAGGCCCATTGGTTCAGTAGGTATGATGTTTCTGTTGTATCATAATGGTCTGGGTTTGATTCTCGGTAGTGTATGTGCACTGCTGATAAGTCCCAAAATAGGATGAAATGGCCGTCCAGTGCTTTCTGCATTTTGTTTAGGATTCTTCTAGACTCGATGAATTACTTAATTATGACATACATATATATATATATATTTATTTATTGCTTAAATGTTATTTTTAATGGATACCAATATTTGAGTCGATGCTATGTTTTTATTTATATATTAAATAGTATATTTATTTATTTCCATCTCCCAGCCTGAATATTTGAGAAATATTATTAAAAAACTTTGCACTCTCTAGCAGGATTTGAATCTGTGTTCCCCTAGAGGAACCCATCATTAGATCTGATGTGCTTTCACCTCTTCTTGGTCATGAAGAATCTCTTATAAATATTACCATTTTAAACCTGTAGCTGTAGATGTATTACCATTTATAAATTATAAGTACATAACTATGACCATTTATAAAGTAGTAGCAGTAGAAGCATTACCATTTTTAAAATAGTAAGAAAGAAGGCATACCATCAATAAACTGGTAGCTGTATAAGACTTACCAATTACAAACTTCTTGTAGTATAATATTCCAATAAATAAATTGGTGGTTTCACCAGACAAGTTAATTATGAATTAGTAGATATATAATTTTTAGCAATAAAATTTATAGGTGTATTAACATTTATAAACTGGTGGGAGCATAAGTAATACCATCTATAAATTTGAAGGAGCATGACTATTACCATATTGGTTATTGGTAGTCATATTGCCATTTATAAATTGGTAGAAACATAAGTTTTACCATTGAAATTTGTAAGAGTATAGGTTTTACTATTTATAAACTGATAGGAGTGTAAGTATTACCATTTGTAAACTGTGGAAAAATAAGTGATACCATCTATAAACATGTAGAAGCATTAGTCATGTCATTTATAAACTGGTAGGAGTCTTACAATTTATGAACTAGTGGAAAAATAAGTGATACCATGTACAAACCTGTAATAGTATTAGTCATATCTTTATAAACTGGTAGGAGACCAAGTATTATAGTAGCATAAGTCATATGATTTGTAAACTGGTAGAATTGTAAGTATTACCATTTATGAACTATTGGAAAAATAAGTGATACCATCTATAAACCTGTAATAGTATTAGTCATGTCATTTGTGAACTGGTAGGAGTGAAAGTATTACCATTTAGAAACTGGTAGAGGCTCTCGTATTATCATTTATAAATTGTAAGATCATATGTCTTACCATTTATTAACTGACCTGATGTTGAAAAAATAGCCGTATGAAGTTCTGAGCTAAAGGTGCCAGCCAACCGTATCATGCTGGGTGTTTCTTAAATTATATCCTGGTGCTTTAAGTCTGCTGTGGGTTTTACAATTTATAAAACCTGTCCCATGGTACGTCAGAAACGTTTGGTATGCCAGAGATTTTTGTGGACTAATTCCGATTTTGGATTCATATTTCTTGACTTGCAGTCAGACAGATGGATGCCAAAAATCACAAATTTTATTATTTGCTCCCTCAGTTTTTGAAAATATACAAATGTTTTATGTATGCATATTTTTATAAACATTGCATGCAAATGTTATAAAACAAATCATATTTCTAAATATTGTACACATGCATGTATAGACATGTGTGTATATGTGTGTATATATATATATATATATATATATATATTTCTTCATATATATTGTGTGTATTTAGGCAGCATTTTTTCATTGATGCATGTTTCAATAAATAATATAGACAAGTGTTGTCTATTCATTTTATGTAAAATCTTTTCATATCGTCTGATAAGCTTAATAACATTATCATTAAACGAAGAAAGAAAATCACAATATTGATAAATATTTTTTAATCCTATCTAAGCTTAAAAAAATTTTTTTAAAAAATATGTATCAATATTATGATTTTCTTTCTTGTGATGTTTGTTTAATGGTATATCAATACATTGTGGGTCATTTAATGCCAAAATTTAATTTTCTTAGGAGCTTGAGTATTTTTTTCTTTTTACAAATTTTTAAAGTACTCAGAATTTCTAATTGGCAATTCCTAGTTTGCTCCCTCCTACTACTTGTTTCTTTTTCTCCCTCCTACTACTTGTTTCTTTTGCTCCCTCCCACTACTTGTTACTTTTGCACCTCCCACTATTTGTTTCTTTTGCTCCCTCCCACTCCTTTTTTCTTTTGCTCCCTCTTACTATTTGTTACTTTTGCTCCCTCCCACTATTTGTTACTTTTGCTCCCTCCTACTACTTGTTTATTTTGCTCCCTCCTTCTACTTGTTTCTTTTGCCCCCTCCCACTACTTGTTTGTTTTGCTCTCTCCCACTGCTTGTTTCTTTTTCACCCTTCCACTACTTGTTTCTTTTGCTCCCTCCTACTATTTATTTCTTTTGCTCTCTCCCACTACTTGTTTGTTTTGCTCTCTCCCACTACTTGTTTCTTTTTCTCCCTTCCACTACTTGTTTCTTTTGCTCCCTCCCATTACTCGTTTCTTTTGCTCCTCCTACTACTTGTTTGTTTTGCTCTCTCCCACTACTTGTTTGTTTTGCTCTCTCCCACTACTTGTTTCTTTTGCTCCCTCCTACTACTTGTTTCTTTTGCCCCCTCCCACTATTTGTTACTTTTGCTTCCTCCCACTACTTGTTTCTTTTGCTCCCTCCCACTACTCTCCTGACTAGGTGAAGGTGTGTAGCCTGCAGTGTGACAAAGTTGTAGCTCAGTTCTTGTGGGAATCAGATGTCATTTTCAGAAATCTGAGGTGACGAACTCAGGGTTAAGAACGTTGAAAAATCTTGGGATCATATTTCTTGTACTTTTCTTCCAAAATGAACTTTTGATGGAATTTCCTCCTTGTCTGAGATGGACTATTTGTAATTTGGAAAAATCAATAATGAAAATTAATATTTTAATAATATTAATTATACGGGGCAAGGCAAAAGTTGCATAAGAGTTAATTAATTAATCATGTTTTAATGTATAATTTTTTTTTAGGTAGATCATGTTGTATGGCCGCTGAGCTGGTTATAATGACAGTAAAATGATTTCTTAGTCCTGTTGGTTAACTGTTGCTTCTGTTACAATTGGTTGATAATATAGATCTTGGAAAATGAAAGAATGAAATATGAATGCAAAAAATGACTGGGGAACTAACAAGTTAATGAATCATGCAGGCACAGAATTGAAATGTGTTTTAAAAAAGAAGGCAGACATTTTGAACAGCACATATAATAATTAAACAACTAGTGAATAAAATTTTCACATGTAATTATACATTTAATAAATTATCCTTATATATATGTGTATATATATATATATATATATATATATATATATATATATATATATATATATATTGTATATTTCGGCAACAATCTTTCTTTTAGACATGTTTCATTAAATGTGACTGGCAAGGAAAATTTTATAAGTTTTTATTAAAAACAACAGACATTGTGTATTTATTGCCATGACTGTTCTTGACAGGAGAGCTTTTATGTTGCTTTCTCTCTTTTTTTTATTCAGTTGTCTTTCTGTGTCAAGGCTAGAGAGCACAGTCCACTTTACTATTTTCACTATATTTCAGGAAGAAAAAAAACATTCCTGCCTTTCCCAAGTTCTTTAGATGGAATTTGATTTTGGCCTGCTGGTTCTATTTTCCACGCTGGTAGTTATTGCACTGCCTTATATTCATGACCCCGTTATTTGTCGAGTAGAGCAGTAACTCCAAATGTGAAATGCCTGGAATATTAGGTTTAGGTTAACAGTACACTAAGAATGTATGTCACCACGTTCATATTTTTTTAATTAGTGCTTAATGTTACTGTATTGATTTTTATTGAATTGGCAATAATAAACCTTTGAACCCAAACAAAAATATCGGTCACCTATTTTACTATTAGGTTTGATTTCCTTACTGAAAACTAACATCTAAGAAAAAAAAAAACATAAAATAAATGGCAATCGTTAACCTTTGTTCCTGTTGAATTTCAAAATAATGTTTTTTTCCTTGACACTGCTATTATTTTAACTACCTTCACTTCACAACAATGTTTATTGTTTAATAAACAATTATAAGAATTGTAATAAAACCTAAACATATGAACGTGAATTTATACATTTTCTTTATTCTTAAAAATTGACAACAAAAATAATAAATACTATTTATTTATTAGATTGTTTATTTACACTAGTTATTTATTAACTTGTTTATTGGTATGGTTGATAAAACATCAGCTAATTGCCAATCGATTCAAATTCAATAAAATGGTAAATAATAATGATTTCTTTATAGTTACTTTAATAATTTAATAAATGTTTATAAATTTATGAATAAAAAATTGTTTTCATATTTATTTTTTTATAAATTGGAAAATAATAAATATTACGTTGCATTACATTATTTACATTATTCAGACTATTGTCCTCATCTTTGTCGCCATATTTATTAGAATGTTTCAGCCGTTGTATACTCTGGCCTTATTCCACTGTGCCATGTGTTCTTGAGGACACATGGCACAGTGGATAAAGGCATTGGTTAGATCCAGTGACAGGACCCAAAGAATGTGAGTTCAATACCCGGTCAAGGCAGTGGAGAACTTTCAGAGGGAAATTAACAGGAGATAACTGATAACTGACATCCATTAGACATGCCACGTGGAACTAGAACAGTCTACCCCAGTGAGCGAAATAAAGGGTTCAGTTCGACATTCCAACCACCTGAAGAAGGACGGAGTGTACAACAGCCGAAACATTGTAATAAATATGGCGACAAAGATGAGGACAATAGTCCGAATAATGTAAATAATGTACATAATACCTCATCGCAGAAATATAGACAGATACGTTGCATTAGTTTTAACTGTATTAGTCCTTAGAATGTTGTAAATATAAAATTATTCTTGTAAATAAACTCTCCAATAAATAGTGCTTAATATTTTGTCATAAATTCTCAACAACCAAAAAAAATGTTTAAATTCACTTTTATCATATGTTTAGGTTTTATTACAATTCTAATCATCACATTTTAAAATAATAAACATTGCAGAGGAGTGAAGGTAGTTAAAATAATAGCAGTGTCAAGGGTGTGCTATACCATTTATCTACAGAGGAAGCATCTGGGAAAAACTGTCTTTTTGACACTCCATTTTTTATGGATATGAAGGTCCAAGATTGCCAAATAAAAAAGATAATAAAAAGTTGATAATATAATTTTTGTTAATCTTCCTTAAATTCAAAGACTCACATGCAAAAACCTTCAAATAATAATAAGAACTTCTCCAAAACTGCAATGTTATTGGTCCTGACCTGACATCTCAGCTTCAGCCACTTCCCACTGCTGTAATGTAGCCTCCCTGTGCCTTTTCTATAAATATTTTGATGTTAATTTTTTGGATGAACTCTTCACTATGGTACCTAGACTTTATGAATTTAAGCACGGCACTAGATTGGTGGCAAGGTCTCATCATTCACAGTTGGCTAGATGTAACCGTAAGTTCTGCTAGCAATTTCTTTCCTTGCACATCTTTTGTGGAACTTGCTTCCAGCTCCATGATTTCCAGCCAACCTCTGATCTTCAAAAATTTAAATGCAATGTCAATCATTATCTACTGTCTTAATTAATCTTCTATTCTCTATCCCTAACGTTTCTCTTTTTTTCTTGTTCTTCCACACTCAGTAATCCCTTGTGTCTTTTATTTTATTATATCTATATATATATATATATATATATATATATATATATATATATATATATAAAGTGTTGTGTCTGTTTGTTTGTTATCAAACTCCTCTTAGGGTTTTAGAGATAGACCTCCTATAAGCATATATATTCTGAAACTATATTACCCATGGTACTTGGATAATTATATTTCCTTTTGATCAAAGGGAATCCCTGGTAGACACTTCCACCACAGAAAAATTTTTCTCTTTGATATGAATTAAATTTAAATTTGAACAAAGGAATGACTCTTAAGGTACTTGGATAAGTATATTTCATTTTGATCAAAGGGGGTCCCCGGGGAGTACCAACCCCCCACTGGAAATGTTTTTCCCCTTGATTTAAATTAAATTTAAATTTGAACAAGGTGATGACACTTATCCAAAATATAGAAGGAGAAAGCCAGAAGATGGAGGTCACATTGGCAAGATCATTTTGATGAAAGGGCGTTCTTGTGGGGTGTGGGGCATCACCACCCCACTGCAAAGTTTTCCCTTTGATTTAAATAAGTTTAAATTTGAACAAGGGAATGACTCCTATTCAAAATATAGGAGAAAGCCAGAAGATGGATGTCACATCAGCAAGATCAAAATGAAACAATATGGCTGTCAAATTGAGCAAGAAATCGCTAATCAGTGGGTAGTGCCTTACAATACATATTTGTTGTGACAATTCAACTGTCATATCAATGTTGAAATTCGCTCATCAATTCATTCAATTAAGTATTGCATCAAATACATATCAAAGGGGTCAGATCAAGCTGTTTTTGCATAAATTCCACACTGAATTTTTTTTCCTTTTGATTTAAATTAAATTTAAATTTGAACAAGGGAATGACTCCTATTCAAAATCTAGAAGCAGAAAGCCAGAAGATGGAGGTCACATTGGCAAGATCATTGAGTAATATTGAAATGCATCATTTTTCTTCACAAATTATAATAATGATTTAAAATCAATCATTATTTTCTTACAGAAAATATGTGACAAGCAGCAAGGCATGAGTAATTTGACTAGTAATAAAATAATAATGCTAGCTATTAATACTAGTAATCAATATTATGAAATGGACTAAGTTTGACAATTTAACATATTTATTGTTTATATGTTATTTTTGTAGAGACAAATATTTAAGTAAATGTTCTGTTTATAATGAACAGTATTAACAACATTTACTAGCCTGAACGTACAAGAAATTTCATAAAAAATATGTGTCCTCCTACAGGAATTAAACCTGTATCCTACACAGAACCATCTTATAGCCTGGTGTGCTATACCATTTATCTACAGAGGAAGCATCTGGTTAACAATGTTGAATTATTGCTTTTACTTAAATATTTGTATCTATAAAAATAATGTATAAACAATAAATATACTAGTAATCAACATATGCAAAATTATATATTTTAATTATATGTATATCAAAGTGAACAGATTTTTTTTATAATAAAGTGCTCAATATTTGACAAGCAGAACAATTTTTAAATTAGAACATTCAATACTTATCAATGTCAACACTGAATTTCATAATTTTCTCACTCACTCATTGGGGCTCACAGTCAAAATTGAAATATCTATCTATCTATCTATCTATCTATCTTCTTAATCATTTCACCCCATGTAAGGCAATAAAACTCACTATGATGAAGGGGGTTACTGAGAGTGAAAGAAAGAGAGAGAACAATAAAAAAAAAAGGATTCAAGGAAGATGGGGATTGACATTGCATTTATGTATTTATCTCAGTCTGTTCATATCTATCTATCTATCTATCTATCCCAGTCAGTTCATATCTAAATTACTCATATCTATCTATCTATCTATCTATCTATCTATCTATCTATCTATCTATCTATCTTCTTAATCATTTCTCACTCACTCATTGGGGCTCACAGTCAAAATTGAAATATCTATCTATCTATCTATCTATCTATCTATCTATCTATCTATCTTCTTAATCATTTCTCACTCACTCATTGGGGCTCACAGTCAAAATTGAAATATCTATCTATCTATCTATCTATCTATCTATCTATCTATCTTCTTAATCATTTCACTCCATGTAAGGCAATAAAAACTCACTATGATGAAAGGGGTTGCTGAAAGTGAAAGAAACTGAGAGAACAATAAAGGAATAGGGTTAATGGAGACATGAGATGATGATTGACATTGCATTTAATTTTATAAAAATTCTAGTTGACAGCAAAACAGGAAGCTGGAAAAGAGTTCCACAAGTGAGAAGTGTGAGAGAAGAAGCCATAAGCATAGAACTTACAGTTTAAGATAGCAATTCCAATAGTAAAATTATGAGACCTACCTGTCAATGTAGTACTGCAATTAAATTCATAAAGTTGAAGTACTAAAGAGGAAAGCTCATCAGAAAAATTGCCATTAAAATATTTATAGAAAAGACACAAGAAAGATATGTTATGGCAATATGAAAGTGATTGATGCTGAGATGCCAGGTCAGGAACAATAACATTGCAGAAGCATAAGACCAGATGAAGCTGGAAGAGAGTTCCACAAGTGAGAATTATGAGACCAGAAAATATATATATATATATATATATATATATAATAGACCGGTTAATAAAATTTGAGGAATAAAAAGTAAACAATATGATAATATTTATTATATCTTTTGACTAAATTGAAGCATGAAGAGAAAAATTTTAAAGTTGAAATTGTTGGACATGCCTGTGTCCTTTCTGAATGATATGAGGAATAAACAAAGAAGTGAGACTTACTTTTCTTGGGAATGGTTTTGTCGGTTAGAGGGTTCTCTGGAAATTATATTCTCTAAGTAAACCCAAATACCTGTTTAATCCTTCAATGTGTGATTTTATTTTGAAAATATATTTCAACTCTGATCTGCATCTTTCTTGTTGGCTTTTTAAATGAAGATGCTAAAAATATGCATCTGATGTCATCAATGCTTTGAAATGGTTGGTTGAAGTGTGCAGTGACAGGAAATTGTAGTTGTTGTTGTTGTTGTTGTCGTTGGTGGATTTATTGATAGTTATGGAACCAAAGATGGAATTCTGTTTCAGTTTTTCCAACATAATTTCCTTTTTTTGAATTTGTGGGAGAAAAGTAAATATATAAAATTTGAACTGTCACAAGTCAGAGCTGGTGGTTTGAATAATAATGAATTCCAACTTGTTATTCAGTTTAGTCAAAAGGTTAATGTATAATAACTATCATCAATTATATTGTCACTATTGTTATCATTTTGTTATCTTTTTATTCTTTGTCTTAATCATATATATATGTATATATATATATATATATGAAATGCATGTATTTCGGCAGCATGTTTTCATTCAGACAGGTTTTGTTAAATTATTTAGACACATTTTCGTCTTGTCTTTTAACAACCACACGAAAAAGCTTATTCACGAATGTGAAAGGATCTTGTCGAAAATAAGTAGACAGAACATGTCTAAATTATTTAACGAAACCTGTCTGAATATATATATATATATATATATATATATATATGCATAATGAGAAGCCACGTATACTTTCTTAATATGTATATATAGAAAAAGTTTCAAATTGAAAATTATAATGTTTTATTTTATGAAAGTATTTATTTATTTATATATATATTTGATATTTCAAATTGTCCTCAATTTTTCATCAGAAATAACTGTTTGTTACAAATAAATTAAAATTACTGTTTGTTAGCAAGTAGCATCCTTCGCGAGACGCGGACGTCACGTGATATGGAACGCCACTGTTCGGATATTCCTAACTTAAATCTAACTGTCATAAATATTTAAAACAATTTTTACTATATCTAAAAAAAAAAAAAAAAAAAAAAAAATTGCTTAACTTTTGAAATATTTATAAAGATTTAAAACACCTAAGTCCCTATTCAACCCTAGTTTATGTGTATTTAATTTTAAAATCCAATATGTTTCTTTTTTTTTCTGCGTGTGAATGTGGAAGTAAAATCGGAATCTATTAATAAACATTTGCAGTTTTCTAATGTGTGTCCTGATTGATTGTAGTGTTTAGCTATGGGGGAATAAGGGTTGTTTTGACGTATTGTTTGTTTATGGTTATTAAAACGAAATCTAAAATTGTTTCCAGACTCACCTATATATCCACTATTAGGACATAAGTTGCAGAATAAATAATAGATTACGTTATGGGTATCGCAGGTGAGGTTAGGTGGCTGTATCCTGATATTGGTGTTGGGTACGGAAAATGTATATATATATATATGTATATATATATATATGTATATATATATATATATATATATCTTTGTCTAAAGTGCCATGGGTTACAAACCCAGGAATGAATGGTCTAAAATCAGAAAAGTCCACCATGCCATGCCATGTCCCCAGGTACAAACCATTGTACTAAACCCAGGGAGTCCAATATTTTCTGTCATGGCCTGAAGTAGGGGGGAGCATCAGTTTCTTTTATTGAGATGACATGCAAGGTGGATTTGTTTTGGAATAACTTTCTCACCATTGACTAAAATGGGAAGAACTACAAGGCAGCAGGTCATCTGACCAGGCTGGTTTTGTATTTGGAGTTGCCACCCAAGGTTATAGAACCCAGTCTGTCCTGCTATTTACTCATAGTTGGGGAGGGGGGTAGAAGAGATGGATTTATACTTTTCCCAATGATATTAGCATGTAAGTGAATGTAATGAACTTGACTGGAATTCGAACACAGCTCTCTGGTTCCTCAAACCAAACAGCAATCCATTACTTTACCGTACATCCATATATATATATATATATATATATATATATATATATATATATATATATATATATAAAAAAAGAAAGAACAGCAAGATATATAATCCGTGTTCTTATAGATATTTTTATTTTTACAAAATAGTGCTCAATGTAAATTTACAGAGCATTAATATTATAAATTAATTGATTTAAAATATGTTAAATATGGTTAGAACTGTGTAGTGAAAAAAAAAAACATATTTTAAATCAATTAATTTATAATATATATATATATATATATATATATTACCAGCATGTTTGCATTAAGACATGTCTCACTGAATAATTTTGATAACTTTTGTCTACTTATTTTTCACATGATCCTCTTGTAATTATGTACAAGTCTCTTAATATCCTTATTAAAAGAAGAAAGAAAATTACCATGTTGTTGCATATTCATTTTATTTCAAGCACTGTTGACATTAGCACAATATTGTCATCAGGGTTTTGTTTTTTCTAAGACAAAAATTGTTGTGCTCATCATTCTTTTAAAACAAAACTGTTGTGTTCATTTGAAAATTAAATTTTTATGTGTGAAGTGAAAAACACTAAGATTATGTACTGTACAATTTTAAATTTTATCATGTAGGCACATGTGCAAACGTCAAGGGAGGTAACTAAGTTATTTTAATGTCTAAATATTTTTAATAAAGGAAAAACTATTTAAAACTATGAGTTAAAACCAAGATAGTTTAAACACTTTAAAAATTGTAAACATTTTAAAACATTTGTGGAGTATTCATAATTAATTTTTATTAAGGGTTGGTTTTAATTTTTTCATATAGACAGCTTCAACAATTTTTAGTTTATGTTTATTATTTTCATGAAAAAGTAAAGATGTATTTTCAACAAGAATTTTCCTAAGTTGTGAATGTGGACAGGCATGCTGTTGTAAATGTCGAGAGATGTTAGTGGTATAGCCAACATGCATATTATTTTTTTGTTTACAATCTCCCAAGGGACATTTAAATTTATATACAATGTTGGTTTTTTGCAACATGTTAGTTGGTGGGGAGGAGTCATTATGAATGACTAAATTGGATATATTGAATTTAGTATAGTATATAATTAATTTTTTTTTTTACTAACATCTGTGGTAGATATATTGGTATTTATTAGATTTTTTAGGATATTTTTATCCTGTTTATAATTAGAATGTATTTGACTGTGATATAAAAGATTAATATATTTAGGTTTCATTTTAGAAGTAATATATTCCATTGGCTTTATATTAACATTGCTAATAGAATGACTTATTTGTTCACCAACAATATAATTAGCAAAGCTATTATTAATAAGAGTTTGTTCATATTTTTAGTTTGCTGTAGAAAATCTGTTTTTTTGGATGAATTAATTTTGCACAGTTTACTAGGTTTTTTATGATTGCTATTTTATAGTAACTTGGATATTTCACTCTTATAGTTAAGAGTGCACAAATTTATGCTAGTAGATTTTTTATAGGGGGAAATAGTGAATTTATTAATATTAGTGTTTATCAATATATCTAGAAAACAAATTTTATTACTATTATTAAGTTCATATGTAAATTTAAGGAGAGAATTATTTTGGAATTGTTTTGGGAGTTGATATATTTCATACATATTCATAACTAATATAAGAATATCATTGACATATCTTAGGTAGATGGAGGTTTTTTTTGTTTTAGAAAAAACAAGACCTTAATGACGAAATTGTGCTAATGTCAACAGTACTCAGAATAAAATGAATATGCATCAACATGGTAATTTTCTTTCTTCCTTTAATAAGGATACTAAGAAAAGAGTCTGTAATTACAAAAGGATCCTATTAAAAATAAGTAGACAAAACTTGTCCAAGTTATTTAATGAGACATTCCTTAATATATATATATATATATATATATATATATATATATATATGAAGGGTCTGTTCATACACACACGGACACACACATATACAAGTACATATTATATATATATATATATGCACATGAGAGTGATATTGAAAGTTAGATTTGTATATATATGAAAGAGATATTCACACACACAGACACACACATATAGATATAGCTATATATTCACACACACACAAAAACATCTTTTGTTATTTTTGACAGCACAGGTAAAAACTGATATGTATACACATACAGATATATATATATATATATATATATATATATATATATACACATACATGCACACATATATATGAAGGGT